CGTGACGGCGCGGATCCTGTATTTTGGCTCCCAGGGCATCTTCCTGCAGGCGTCGCGGCTGAATCATAGCTGCGCGCCCAACGCGGAGTGGCTCATCGACGGCCAGCGGGCTCCTCTGGGAGGGCCAGCCTGGGGCCTCCCGGGCGACGAGGGGGCGGCGCAGCGCGCCGGCGTGGCCGCCTCGTCGTTGTCGCTGTCCCTCCGGGCGAAGAGGGACGTCGGGGCCGGAGAGGAGATCACCATCGACGCGCGTCGCTTCGCGCAAGCACGGTCAGGCAGGGGCGTCCCTCGGAGGACGAGGAGGAGGAGGAGGGGGCCACTTCCCATGGGTGGGTCCTGGACCTCGGCTTCTTGTGGGCCCCTCTTCGGGCACCTCCCCGGGGCCGACGATCTTCAATTTTTTCTCAAGGGCTTCCACGAGGGCGCGAAGTCATTCGCGCTTCGCGGTCCTCGTTCCTTCTCCCCCTCCTCGTCCTGCTTTTCTCCCTTTGGGGGGGCGGCGCGAGAGCGCGAAGTTCGCACTTCGCGCTTCGCGCAGCGCGCAGCGCGAAGCGCGAAGTTGGGAGCCCTTGTTTTCTCCAGTCGCTGGCCCCTGGAGCTCCCGACGCCGTTCCCTGGGAAGGGGCTCTCGTCATGGACAGTTGTTGACGGACCCAGGGCCTGCGAAACGTCCCCTGGACGGTTTGAGAAATGGTGAAACGGTCATGGCATTGTCTTGTTGATTGAGTCGCCAGAGGTCTGTTCTCGGCATTCTTGTGGGCCGCGGCCGCAAGAGTCGCCAGAGGTCCAGGTTTCCAGAATGTCCTGCTCAGTGGATGGAGCTGGATGGCTCCGTGAACGCAGTGAAACGCTGAGATGTCGCGCTTGTGCCCCAGTTTTTCTTTGGGAGCTTCTGCGGAGAAGCTCGTATACCCTGCAGGCGTTCACGGGCGCCTGCCAAAACTTCGGTTGAGTTGCAGTCGCCCTGCTAGCGGTGTGCAGGGAAATCAAGACCTCTCTTGTGCCGTCGTGTGACCAGAAGGGGTCTGCGGAACACAGTCGGCCCGGATTAGCAGGTCGACCTTGCCAGCTCAGGGGTACCCTTGTGTCCTGTGCCTCGCGACACGTGCCTTCTTACACTCCTATGGCGATGTGGCCCTCGGAAGGAACTTGTGTCCTCTCGCGTGTCCTGTCCAATCAAGGCCGACTGTACGGGATAGTCAACAAAGACAACCATATGTAAAACACGATATTGGCCTTTGGGGGGCGTCCTTGGGAGGCTCTGAGGCCACTTGGAGCCGTCTTGTGGCCTCTTGGAGGCATGTTTGGAAGCCATCTTGAGCCAACTTGGGCCACACTGGTGGCCATACTGGTGGCCGACCGTACATTCGCCGACCTGGCCCAACGCCTTCGAAGGCTCCTGGGCCCCCGAGGGCCTCCGTGCGCCTCGGAGGGTCTCCGCAGGGCCCCCCGGGGCCACTCGGGCGGCCGCCACCCCGACGGGGGTCCGCGGACTACATCCGCGACCTGCCCCACCTGGGCGCCCTGCAGAGGCGGGACCTGCTGCACCAGGAAGCCCCAGGGAGCCCAGAAGCCTCGCCCCAGGGCTGGGCCTTGAGCGGCGTTCCGGCGACTTCGTGGGCCGTTGTCGCTCCGATGTCGCTTTGCGGTGCGGGCGGCTTGAGGACAGAACGAGGGACACCGAAGGCAAAACGAAAACGAAGAGCACCGCTTAGGTTCAGCCCTGCCGCGCCCCTCGGCGCGGCCTCGCCCCCCCGAGGCCGCCACCGCCCCAGACTTCCCCAGGGGGGCCGCCGGCGGAGTTGCGCAGCACGGCCGGGCCCGGCCAGGGCGGTCTTCGTCGGGAGCCTTGAGATGGGGGTCAATGCAAGCGGGGGTCAGCCAGGGCACCAGATCCTGCAGGATCCTGCGAAGACCCCCTCTGGCTGACCTGGGTCAGCGAGCCGCTCGTGGCCGCGAGGCGGCCGCGCACATTGGCTGACCCGGGTTTGCGAAGACCTGCGTTGCAGTTTTTGTTGTTCTGCGTTGCAGTTTTTGGTTTCCTGCTGACCCGGGTCTGGATTGACCCGGGTCAGAAGATCCCCGATTTCGGAGGAGGACAGGGTACCCATATGTACCGCTACCTGTCCCTCGTCTTCCTCTTTCTGGGCCTCCTGGGAGGCCCTCGTCGCCACCGCTGGGTCTGCCTCGGAATCCTGGTCAGAGCTGACACTGGGCGAGGTCCGGGGAGTAGCGGCAGCAGTGATTTCTGTTTTCCCCAGATCTTGGCCCAGGGGTGGTTAGGATGTGGCTCCTGGGAGGTTTCATTCAGCATCGGCGGTGGTATTTCCGTGGCCGCAAACGGGGCGAATCCAGGAGAATGCGTCTTGATCCGTTCTCATTCTTGACCCAGCTTAATCCAGCTTCATGGCTTTTTACTTCGCTGGATACCCGCTGATCGTTCCTGCGATGACCTCGCGTGTTCGCCTTCTGGCCAGGCCCGCCCAGGCCGGTGCTGGCCGGGCGGCTTCGCCAGGCCAGTCCTGGCCTGGGCCCGGGCCGATCTTGGAGATCTTGGACAGGCCCTGCCCGGGGGATGAGGCGGCTGTCCAAGGATGCCCATTCGCCGCCCACCGCAGGGATGAGGCGGCTGTCCAAGGATGCCTTCGTGCCCTCGCCTTTGCGGCGCCCTCGGCCAGCCTCGCGGCTCCCCCGCGTGCTCTCTCGAGGACGCCCAGAGGTGCCCATGGGCCTTGCGTTCTTACCGTGGGCGGAGCGCTTTTCGCTGGCGTTGTGGCTGGGGTGCGGGATAGAAACCCGAGGGAATCCTTCCAGCGCAGGGGGGGGGCATAGGAGGCCGAAGCCTGGGGGACCCCCCGGTGCAAGCTGAGGCGTGTTCAGCAACGGCTCGCGGGGCGCGCCTCTCGGCTCCTGGAATACGGCTTCTGGTGCTCATGCGAGCTGTGCGCCGCGGCGGTTGGGCGTGCCGCCGAGGTCGACGAGCAGGAGGAGGAGGAGTAGCGAACAAAATATTAGCCACGGAAGTGGACGAGGAAGAAAGGAGGAGGAGGAGGAGGAGGATGGTGGTGGTGATCGTGATGGTGATGATGGTGGTCATGGTGATGATGATGGTGGTGGTGGTGATGGTGATGATGCTGCAGATGATGATGATGATGCAGATGATGATGATGATGATGATGATGATGATGATGATGATGATGATGCTACAGATGATGATGATGATGATGATGATGATGATGATGATGATGATGATGATGATGATGATGATGATGATGCTGATGCTGATGCTGATGCTGATGCTGATGCTGATGATGATGATGATGATGATGATGATGATGATGATCATGATGATGGTCATGATGACGGTTATGCTTATGGCGATGAAGATTATGATGAGGATGAGGATGATGATGATGATGATGATGACGATGATGATGATGATGATGATGATGATGATGATGATGGTGATAGTGATGGTGATGATTATGGTGGTGGTGATGATACTGATGCTGATTAGGATGATGGTGATGGTGATGATGAATCCGATGACGACGACGATGACGATGACGACGACGATGATGATGATGACGATGACGATGATGATGATGACGATGATGATAATGATGCTGGTGGCGATTATGATGACGACGATAGTGATAATGATGCTGATGATGATACTGATGCTGATGATGATGGTAATGGTGCCGATGATAGATAAGATGATGATGAAGACTATGATGATGATAATGATGATGGTGCTGACGTTGTTGTTGCTGCTGTTGCTGCTGATGATTGTGATGATGATGATGACGGGTGATGGTTGTGGTGGTGATGGTGGTGGTGCTAGTGATGATGCTGATGCTGATGAGGATGCTGGTGCTGATCGCAGATGGTGATGGTGATGACGATGACGATGTCGATGATGATGATGATGATGATGATGATGATGATGATGATGAGGATGATGATGAGGATGCTACTGATGTTGATGATTATGATGATGATGGCGATTATGATGATGATGTGGATGATGATGCTGATGATTGTGATGGTGCTGACGATGTGGTTGCTTATGTTGCCGCTGCTGCTGCTGATGATGATGCTCATGCTGATGCTGCTGATGATGATGATGATGATGATGATGATGATGATGATGAAGAAGAAGGGTGATGGTTGTGGTGGTGATGATGATGATCCAGTGCAGTAGAAACAGTCTGGAGAAGATCCTCGACAGCTGGTCGAGCCCAACCGCTTTCCTCGGCGCCTCGCACGCGGCGGCAGACGGTGCCCTTTGGCGCAAGCGAGGGGTCGTATCGAAGCAGGTTTGCAGCACAGGCATATCAGCAGGGGCAAGCCGCCTTTGCATGCCGCATGCATGCCAGGGCGTGTGCCTCGGCTCGGGTACAACGGCCTCCGCCCAGCGCTGGTGCCGTGTACTTTCGTAGCGGAGGCGTCCGAGAGGGTCTTTGCACCCCCGTTCCCCCTGGAGACATAACCATGGAGTCTGCGGACCTGCTGCATCAGGTCCACCATCTATCGGCTGGGTCGCCAGAGAGGCGCCGTCCTTCTTGCGAGGCGCGCGGCGCCTCGAGAGGCGACGCCACATTGGACGGGCGGTCAAGCGTGCATCACACTCTGGCCCGAAGCCTCGAGACGGTCTGTGCACCCCCAGCCCCCCAGAGCTTGAACCCCAGAGTGTACGTACAGTCAACCCAACCCGCATGATAAGGATGGGCAGCCTTCCCAAGGGTACCCATGCATCCTTGCCCCCTCGGTCCATCCTTCGCCACGTTCGTTGGCCGCGCCCCGCTCGAAGAGCTTCGAATTTGGTGTCCAGGGCCCTTGCATCCTTATCGCGCATCCTTACTGCACGGGTTGACTGTACTCCTCTGGTTCCGCCTCCGCCCTGAGAGCAGCGAGTAGCAAGCGCAGCGGGCGGAGGCGCACGGCGAACGGGCAGCGGCCGCAGGTTCGACCACGGACTGGGCTGCACCACCTTCAGGCTCCTGGTCTAGGGCTTGGCATCGCTCGGACGTGTGCTCTTTTCTCGGCGAGGACCATCGAGGAGCACCCTGGATCATAGCACAATTAGCCTGGCGAAGGACCAAACCATATGCAGTTGTGAGTAGCGCAGTTGTGATTATCATCTTCGGTGGGGCTCTTTATGGGGCCACGAAACGTGTGAGGCGGGTGCCGAAGTGGGTGGGGGGACGCATGTGGACGGTGGCACCGGGGCGTTCGGTGGAGCTCCCTATGGGACCACGAAGCATGTGAGGGGTGTGCCGAAGTGGGTGGGGAGGACGCATGTGGACGGTGGCACTGTGGCCTTCGGTGGAGCTTCTTATGGGGCCACGAAACGTGTGAGGGGGGTGCCGAAGTGGGTGGGGGGGCGCATGTGGACGGTGGCACCGGGGCCTTCGGTGGAGCTCCCTATGGGACCACGAAGCGTGTGATGGGTGTGCCGAGGTGGGTGTTGGGCGTACGCATGTGGACGGTGCCCTTGGGACCTTCGGAGGAGCTCCTTTTGGGGCCACGAATCTCGTGAGAGGTGTGCCGAGGTGGGCGGGGGGACGCATGTGGACGGTGGCACTGTGGCCTTCGGTGGAGCTCCTTTTGGGGCCACGAAACGTGTGAGGGGTGTGCCGAATTCGGCGGGGGGGACGCATGTGGACGATGGCATTGGGACCTTCGGTGGAGCTCCCTATGGAGCCACGAAGCGTGTGAGGGGTGTGCCGATGTGGGTCGGGTGTGGGGGGGGGGCGCATGCGGACCGCTCCACGGGGGCCTTCGGTGGAGCTCCCTGCGGGGCCACGAAGCGTGTGAGGGGTGTGCTGACATGGCTGTGGCGGACGCATGTGGACGGTGCTACTGGGGGGCTTCGGTGGAGCTCCTTATGGGGCCACGAAGCGTGTGAGAGGTGTGCCGACATGGGCGCGGCGGACGCATGTGGACGGTGCCACTGAGGCTACGGGTTGAGCTCCTTATGGGGCCACGAAACGTGTGAGGGTTGTGCCGACATGAGTAGGGGGCGGACGCATGTGGACGGTGGCATTGGGGCCTTCGGAGGAGCTCCCTATGGGGCCACGAAACGTGTGAGGGCTGTGCCGACATAGGTGTGGCGGACGCTTGTGGACGGTGGCATTGGGCCCTTGTGTGGAGTTCCCTATGGGGGCACGAACCGCGTGAGGGAGGTATGTACCGAAATGGGTGTGGCGGACGCATGTGGACGGTGCCACTGAGGCATTCGGTGGAGCTCCCTATGGGGCGGCGAAGCGGTTGAGGTGTGTGCCGAAATGTGTATGGCAGACGCATGTGGACGGTGGCACTGGGGCCTTTGGTAGAGCTCCCTATGGGGCCACGAAGCGTGTGAGGGGTGTGCCGAAATGGGTGTGGCGGATGCATGTGGACGGTGGCACTGTGGCCTTCGGTGGAGCTCCTTATGGGGCCACGAAACGTGTGAGGGGGGTGCAGAAGTGGGTGGGGGGACGCATGTGGACGGTGGCACCGGGGCCTTCGGTGGAGCTCCCTATGGGACCACGAAGCGTGTGATGGGTGTGCCGAGGTGGGTGTTGGGCGTACGCATGTGGACGGTGCCCTTGGGACCTTCGGAGGAGCTCCCTATGGGGCCACGAATCGCGTGAGAGGTGTGCCGAGGTGGGCGGGGGGACGCATGTGGACGGTGGCACTGTGGCCTTCGGTGGAGCTCCTTTTGGGGCCACGAAACGTGTGAGGGGTGTGCCGAAGTGGGTGGGGGGGGCGCATGTGGACGGTAGCACTGGGGCTTTCGGTGGAGCTCCCTATGGAGCAACGAAGCGTGTGAGGGGTGTGCCGAATTCGGCGGGGGGGACGCATGTGGACGGTGCCACTGAGGCATTCGGTGGAGCTCCTTCTGGGGCGGCGAAGCGGTTGAGGTGTGTGCCGAAATGTGTATGGCAGACGCATGTGGACGGTGGCATTGGGGCCTCCTGTGGAGCTCCCTATGGGGCCACGAAGCGTGTGAGAGGTGTGCCGACATGGGCGCGGCGGACGCATGTGGACGTTGCCCTTGGGGCCTTCGGTGAAGCTCCTGATGGCCACGAAATGTGTGAGGGGTGTGCCAAAGTGGGTGTGGCGCACGCATGTGGTCGGTGGTACTGGGGCCTCCTGTGGAGCTCCCTATGGGGCCACGAAGCGTGTGGTGTGTGTGTGCCAACATGGGTGTGGCGCACGCATGTGGACGATGGCATTGGGGCCTTCGGTGGAGCTCCCTATGGGGCCACGAAGCGTGTGAGGGGTGTGCCGGAAGGGGGGTGGCGGACGCATGTGGACGGTGCCACTGAGGCTTCGGGTTGAGCTCCCTATGGGGCCACGAAGCGTGTGAGGGGTGTGCCGAAATGGGTGTGGCGGACGCAGTGTGGACGGTGGCACTGTGGCCTTCGGTGGAGCTCCCTATGGGGCCACGAAGCGTGTGAGGAGGAGGAGGAGGAGGAGGAGGAGGAGGAGGAGGAGGAAAAGGAGGAAAAGGAGGAAAAGGAGGAGGAGGAGGAGGAGGAGGAGGAAGAGTAGGAGGAGGATGAGGAGGAGGAAGGAAGGAAGGAAGGAAGGGGGAGGAGGAGGAAGGAAGGCAGGAAGGACGGAAGGAAGGAAGGGGAGAACGCGGGGCGCTGTCTCTTCAAAACGAGGATCCAACACCACGCACGAAAACCACAAATTAAGAGGGAGTGGGCGTCCGAGCGATGGCGAGCTGCGGGCTCCTGGCCTGTGGACGGTCTGTGCACCTCGTTCACCCCCGCGGAGATAGCCATGGATTGTGCGAGCCACTCAATCGAGTCTTCCTCCGCTATCGCGGCAAGCCGACCCTGAGCGTGTCACCTGTGGCAGATAGCGGCAAGACAAACGTAGCGCCGCACAGGAAAACTCAGAACATGCTTCGGGCACCGCTGCGACGGAGCTGCGCGTGCCAGTCGCTCCAGAGTGCGCCTGGCTGCTACGTTGCTGGGCTTCTAAGCGTGCGCCACCTTCAGGCTCCTTGCCGAACGACGGTCTGTGCACCCT